AAAAAAAAAACAAAACAAAACAAAATTATTTTTAAAGTTTAAAACAACGTGAAAATGAAAGCCGCTATTGCAATTTCTGTAAAACTTGCTGCGGCCCTGGCCCGTCGGTGGCTGCTCTGCACAGCCGGGCCGGGGGCAGGGCCGCCGATGGGACTGAGCACTGCTTTGCCTTGTATCCGGCCTCCCGCTGCTGCCGACGGCGCTGGGTCACGTGACCCAGCGCTCCCGGCCGAGGCAGCAGGGATCTGCCCGGGAGTTTGTGCTCTGCCTGCCTCATCCTCCCCGCTATGGGCTGGGACCGGCCCTCCAGGCCCGCTCCTCCCTGTCTGGGGCCAAGGCTGCCCTTCACGTCTCCAGCGTGCCCGTGGTTTAGTGCCCACAAAGGACCGTGGGGACCCCACAGGACAGCCTGCTCTGGGGTATCCCCCAGACAAAACAAACGCCACTGGCATGGAAAGTCGTGCCTGTGCACTCAGGTACCTCAACACTCATCACCAGCTACATCATCCCATCCTCATCCTCACACTCCCAGCGTTGAGCACTCATGAGCTCACAAACACCCATGCTCACAGTCCCACACATTTTCTTGCACACACACCTACATTTGTGCAGTTACTCAAACACCCTACACACTCACAGACAGTTACAACCCCCTGTACACACGAGTTCTGACACACGTTCTCATTCACGCCTTCACAGCTGCTTGTATTCACACCCACAGTCACTCCCACAACAGGCAGTAACACACCCCAGCTCCCGTGCATTCGGACACCCCCAGACTCTCACACACTGACACACCGGTGCTTGTGGGTTCCTGCCACCCTCACCCAAGCCACAGCCCCGCTGTGATATCCCAGACCCGTCTCTGTCAGCACAGCCCCTCACGGGAAGGCTGTGGAGACAGTGGGCGGCAGCAGCAACCACGGGAGCCCTCGGCCCCGTGCCCGGCCCGTGCCCAGCCAGCCTGCCCCCGCCACCACCCAGCCCTGCCCGCCCGCTGGGGTCGAATTTCCCCCCTCCCAGTACCTGCCTCAGTTCTTGACTTCTGAACTCTTCAGGGAACTCACTGGCGCCAGCTCCATCAACCAAAGTCCTTGTGGTTAGGAGGAGCTGGGAGAGGAGGGAGGGAGCGAGGGCTGGGGCCAGCCGGGGCCGGGAGGCTGCCCTCGGGCAGGGGCCCTTCTTGTCCCACAGGACTGCAGCTGCCTTTCCCCTTCCTCAGGATATGCCTGAGCTTCTTCTCCTGCCCCTTGTCACACAGGAGATGTGGGGCAGAGTCTGCTCACCTGCCCTGAGCATGTCAGGTTGTCTCCACAGGGAAGCAATAAAATGCCATGCCAGTCCTGCGCAGTGCCACAAAGTCCCCTGCCAGTGAGCTCTGACACCCTGAGGGAGGCAGATTGCTGCCAAGTCCTGGGACCCAGGAGATGCGTCTCTCCAGTAAATAACACAGCTGCCTGGTGCCACTTGCACATCCCAAAGGCCCCAGCTGATGCCAGGAAGAGCCTTGGCCTCCCCTGTGCCAGGGATCCTCCAGGCTGAGCAGATGCTGAAGGCCCAGAGGGACTGACCTCCAGAAATCAGAAGGTCACCACCAGTGATCCAGTCTTGTTGGTGAGGGTCACAGCCCCCAGCTGTCGAGCCCAAGGTAGAGGCTTTGGGGCAGTAAAACTTGTCAGGAGACAGATTACAGGTAAGTCAGAATTCCTTCTGGCCAGCACCCAGGGAGGACAAAGGAGAAGAGCAGGCAGGACTAGGTCCTGACAGGGATTCAAAATTTCTGGAAATCAATGGGAATTATTGATGAGTTTGGGGATGATGCAGAGCCCTAGGATTTATTCCCTGCACAAGCCAGACTTCACTTACATCCTTGAGAAAGCCACACAGCTCCTGGCACTGGAAGTTTGGACACTGTGCATCTAAAGCTCCAAGACAACACCCAGTTGAGATGTTCCAGTTCAAATTGCTCCTGACCCCAGTTTCCCCTTAGGCTCTCCAGGGCTGTGGCTTGAGCAGTACTATAGAGAACAAGGCTCTGGAAATATCCTGTCAATTAATATACGGGTTTTACCTCCCTAATTCTGAGGCTAAAGAGGCCGTGCTGCAAGCTCACACACTGAGATATGTCAGGGTCAGTCTTGGTGCTTTCAGGTCCACATCCCAACGGCAGAGTCTACAAGGACCAGCACCCACTTGGAGATGAATCCAGTGAGCCTACAAATGGATCCCTGGGGTGGGAGCCAGAGGCACCCCAGCCCAGCTGCCTCTGCCTGGATCTGCATTCAGCATGCTTCCATTTGCTGACGGCTGGATTTGTCACACTTTGCTAGGACTCTAAATGCTAGGCCCTGCAAAAAATAATTCAGATATCAGACTCTAGGCAGAGCCCAGGGAGACAGACATTCCCAGATGATTCCTCAAAGTGCTGCTTTAGTTCTTAGTTCTTCTGCACAGAGAAATCCTGTTTTGTGGGAAACACCAACAAGGTGGGTCAGACCTCCTTGGAGGGAGACAAAAGCCTCCAATGCAGGAGCTGACACGTGCACTAAGTTGCTGCAAAATTCATACATTAAGGAAGCCCAGTGTCCTTGGCCTCCACTTCTCCAGAGCATCTCACCTCCTTCAGGTATCCACAGCCACTATCCATATTCCTGCAAGCCTTGAAACTTTTGGCTCC